TCCAAAGAGGTATAAAAACTGAAACAACTTGATCTTTTTATAGCTATGCTACATTTGCTAATTTCCCTTTTAAATTCCATATTTAAGGCAGTATGTTAAAAGTCAGTAGTAGTAGTAGAAAAGATTAATTTAGAAGTGACCACTCAAAACAGTTACAATAAACATTTATTGACTCCTTCGGCCTAAAGCAGAATGTCTGTAAATTGCTTATGATAATGTTAATTCTTAGATGAAATAAGGAAACATCCACATACAAACTAAAAATAATAAGCACATTGTTTAGTGAGAGGGCTCTGGAAGATAGCTCAGAAATTTTTTTTTTTTTTTAACAAAATATTAACTAGTCTCCCACATAAAGCTTCCCTGATGGGTCAGTTGGTAAAGAATCCACCTGCAATGCAGGAGACCCCGGTTCAATTCCTGGGTTGGGAAGAGCCCTTGGAGAAGGGATAGGCTACCCACTCCAGTATTATTGGGCTTCCCTTGTAGCTCAACTGGTAAAGAATCTGCCTGCAATGTGGGAAACCTGGGTTGGATCATTGGGTTGGGAGGATTCCTTGGAGAAGGGAAAGGCTACCCATTTCAGTATTCTGGCTTGGAGAACTCCATGGACTGTATAGTCTATGGGGTTGCAAAGAGTCGGACATGACTGAGCGACTTTCACTTTCACTCCCATATAAAGAGTTGGACAGTTTTAAGTTAGGAATTCTTTAGGGAGTTGAAAAGAAAAAAACAGACTATATAGTTTTAGTAAAAATTCCTCATGTTTCAAAAAGTATTTTCAGCTGGAGATATCCCAGTTGGTTTGATAAAGAATGGTGCACTAAATACAGATGCACTGTTTTGACTGCTATTAACTACAGACAGTAACAAATTTTAAAATGTGGAATAGGCCCATGAGATTCCAGTAATTCCTATTGACTTCAGCCCTGACGGACAATGAATTCTTATTCACATAAATGAGCATAAAAATATTTTGTCAAATGAAAATATAATTATGACTGCTTCATATTTACAGAAGCACACTTCAGTTGGCCCTTCCCACCTAAAATAACTAGACTTCAATCCAGCGATTATTTTATCTGTCATATACAATACTACATATTAAATTAGCATTAAAGGGAAAAAAGAAGACATGCTATGCTCCAATACTAGGGAGTTCACAAATAGGTGAGTAACAGAAAAGAGAAATTTAAGATTCTCTCATGATCTCACTGGTCTTGCCAGGTGACTCAGTGATAAAGAACCCACCTGCAAATGCAGAGATGAGGGTTCAATCCCTGGGTCAGGAAGATCCTCTGTAGGAGGAAATAGCAACCCACCCCAGTACTCTTGCCTAGAAAATCCCATGGACAGAGTAGCCTGGCAGGCTACAGTCTCTGGGATCTCAAAGAGTTGGACACGACTTAGCAACTAAAAAACAACATGATCTCACTGACCCTCAACTTTGAATCATAGGACTTTCAGTTCTTTCTTCTGGAATAAAGGCATCTTTGATTCTTTATTAGGGTAATGCCTCCTCCTCTTGCTTTAAATCTCACACTTCCTTGGGTGTGGCTGCATTTACACATGAGACTAGGCTAGCTCTAAGATATAGTTACTATCTTGGCCGTATTTGCCTTTCCTTAATAGTACCCATCACAATTGCAGTAAATTATATGTACACTGTGAAGATATGGAGGATTTGGTTTCTGATCATGTAAATAAAGCAAACATTTCAGTTAAAAGAAAGTCATGGGACCGGGATGGGGAATACAGGTAAATCCATGGCTAATTCATTTCAATGTGTGACAAAAACCACTACAATGTTGTAAAGTAATTAGCCTCCAACTAATAAAAATAAATGGAAAAAAAAAAGAAAGTCATCCAATTCTTTCTTTTTCCAGTGCATATAAAAGTTATGTTTATACTATGCTAGTCTATTAAGTGTGCAATAGCATTGTGTCTAAAAATATTGTACATATCCTAATTAAAATATAGTATAATCCACCTGCCAATGCAGGAGACACAGGTTTGATCCCTGGTCCAGGAGGATTCCCCATGCTGCAAGGCAACTAAACCCCTATGCCGCAACTACAGAAGTTAGTGCGCCCTAGAGACATGCTCCACAGCAAGAGAAGCCATCGCAATGAGCCCTCACTCAAGACCAACAGAGAAAGCCTGCTCATAGAATGAAAGGCCCAGAACAGCTGAAAATAAAATAAATTAATTGAATTAAAAAATACTTTATTGCTAGGAAATGCTAACCATCATCTGAGTCTTCAGTGAATTATAATATTTTTACAACAGTAACATCAACAGCCATTGATCACAGATTACCATAACAAATCTAATAATAGTGGAAAAGCTCAAAATATTGCAGAATTATCAAAATGTGACTCAGAGACACAAAGTGGGCAAATGCTACTGAAAATAAGACTTCCTCGAAGCTAGGTTGCCATAAGTCTTCAATTTGTGAAAAATGCAATATCTGCAAAACACAATAATTTGAAGTACAGATGGGAAAGAACCTGTCTTCAATGCAGGTTCAATCCCTGGGTCAGGAAGCTCCTCTGGAGAAGGAAATGGCAACCAAATCCAGTATTCTTGCCTGGGAAATACATGGACAGAGGAACCTGGTGGACTACAGTCCATGGAGTGGCAAAAAATCAACACTACTGAGTGACTCACACTTTCACTTTCACAATGAAGTATGCCTGTAAATGAATAATGTCTTTCTGACAACTAGACAAAAAGCAGAGGGCGAAAAACACTGCTTTCTCATATATGCCTTAATCTCCCCATATGAGTAGATTCCTTTATAAAAAAAAAACAAAAACAAAACAATGTTGGGTGGATAGTTTATTGGTCATAATTTTAACACTTAATCTCATTTAATTGTACAAGGTAGTAATAATCATTTATACTCGGAAGAAATAAATTCTACAAAGTAATTTGTTCTCAGTCACACAATTATTCAGTGGTATAGCATGTATTTTAATCCTAAACCTGTCCTCTTTCACCACACAGATTAATTAAGGTAATGTTGGCTTGGTAATTACATAATAAATATATTAATAAACACTTCCCAAGTTTTGATCAAGTACTTTTTGTAAATCACTTCATATTTTCTTTATGGGTATTGTCAATCGTGCTAACATAGATCCTCACCATTTTTAGGACTGCAATAATGCCTCATTTTTAAGAATTAGTTTCAGTGTCTGTTTGAATAATGCATTTAGTCCTGTAGAGAAACTAGCTATGGAAGTTTTAACTGTCTGAACTCAATGGAAAATATTATTTATTTTTATTAGGTAATTTTTGTTATGATAGTATAAGTTGTTATCCATAGTAATCTAATATTGGCTGTTAATTGTTGCTATTACAGAATGGCATAGCTGTTGATAGGAACACTAAACAAAATAAGAATAATCACCCATGTTAATTTGTTACGGCAAAGTATTTGGTTCTGAAATAAATGTAGGTATTTATCATTTTCAGTTAGAATGCAAAATTCTTTGAGGGGGGTAAATTATGACATTCTCAAAAATGTAAAAATTGTTGTTTCATTAGAAGACATTGAATTGTTTCTAAGAAAACTAGTAAGCCTGAGTTTGTGACTGTATCAGATCTCCTAACAAAAATAACAGACTATGAAAATTATGGGCTTCCCTGGTGGCGCGGACAGTAAACAAATCTGCCTGTAATGCAGGAGACCTAGATTTACTCTCTGGGTCAGGAATATCTCCTGGAAAATGAAGTGACTACCCACTCCAGTATTCTTGCCTGGAGAATTTCATGGACAGAGGGGCCTGGCGGGTTACAGTCCATGATGCCTCAGAGTCGGACCCAACTTAGAGACGAACACTTTCACATGACAATTGTACTAAAATAAGTGAAAATTATCAGCATTCCAGAGCTTGAAGTGAGAATTATTCAAGAAACTATGAAATTAAAGACCTCAGACTGTTTTGTTGAAGACATGCCTTGACAACACATAAAATATTGCACAGTCAAATAATCTTTTAAAGAAATATTCTTTAATGTGTTCTTATGGTCATCAAATATAGGCTATTGGACAAGTCACAGTTAAGTGCCTGATTTGCAAATAGAAAGAAAACTCCCCCGCAATAACCTCAGTGATTTTACCAAAAATTTCAAATTGAGAATTTGTAACTCATTACACTAGATTCACAAGAGGGAAAATAGAAGCAAAAATACAAAGTAACGCTTTGAGAGATATAGCTTTTGCTCATATGTAAAGCTTCCATACTGTGTTTGTGCCCTGCTATCCAGATTCAATAATCTTTCCCAGCCTAAAAGATAGTTAGTGAAGTGAAGTCGCTCAGTCATGTCCGACTCTCTGCCACCCCATGGACTGTAGCCTACCAGACTCCTCGGTCCATGGGATTTTCCAGGCAAGAGTACTAGAGTGGGTTGCCATCTCCCCTTCTCCAGGGGATCTTTCCAATCCTGGGATCAAACCCAGGTCTCCTGCGTTGCAGGCAGACGCTTTACCTTCTAAGCCAACAGGGAAGCCCAAAAGATAGTTAAGAAGATTTTGAGTCCAATTAATATCCGTTCCACATTTAAAACCTCCAGGCTAATCATGATTTTACTACTTTTTTGTACAACTGTAAGAAAGTAAAGGAGAAATTTTCTTGTGAACCAGTAAGAAAGCAGTAAAATAACTGACGAAATAATAATTTGAAAAATAAATAAATAAAACCATAAAAGTCAGAGGTAGCATATAGGAATGAAAGTTGTAATTTGTACACCATGTCAAGTCGTTTTCTCAAGGCTTTAAAATGAAAATCGCAATAGGGAAGAAAATGCAGCAAATCAGGTATTCTAATCTATTTACTAAAGCTTTCAAAAGAACAACACTGGGGGAAACTTTAAAATATAGCAGCCAAGTCATACACAGCCAGATCGTGGCAATTCACCTTTTAAGAGAGCAAAAAATAAAGAGAAAAAAAAAATCAAGTGGGAAAGGTAAAGACTTGAAAGACAGCTTTTACCTACAGATCTAGAAATCACTGAAGTGGAGTCAAATGCTTAGCATTTGTGTTCACACTTGACTCACTCCAGGGTAGGACGTTAGGAGAAGCAGGACAGTGTGCGCAGTGAATGTCACGTGTAATGGCAGAGCACGCGTGCAGTGTGCGCTGTGAATGTCACGTGTAACGGCAGAGCACGCGTGCAGTGTGCGCAGTGAATGTCACGTGTAACCGCAGAGCACGCGTGCAGTGTGCGCAGTGAATGTCACGTGTAACGGCAGAGCACGCATGCAATGTGCGCAGTGAATGTCACGTGTAACGGCAGAGCATGCATGCAGTGTGTGCAGTGAATGTCACGTGTAACGGCAGAGCACGCGTGCAATGTGCACAGTGAATGTCACGTGTAACGGCAGAGCACGCGTGCAATGTGCACAGTGAATGTCACGTGTAACGGCAGCGCTCGCAGGGCGGCCAGGCCTAGGGCTGAGCGCTGTGCGCCAGTCACAGCTGCGGTCTGAAGAAACTGCGAGGCTCATCAACTTCAAAGGAACGCAGAGAATTTAGACAGACTTCAGAGTAGAATGACAGTAATGGAGACCTCTACGGAAACATTAAACACAATCATTAGCTGGAGAAATCTGAGAAGCTGCATATTTATTGATCTTTAAACAAATTATGGCTTATCCCTCAAAGGAAAGTAGTCCATACTTTTTGCTCCATTGGGCATCACAAAAAGGAAATGAATTTAAATTGCACTAGGAGATATTTAAGTTAGACATAAAGAGATATTTCCAGGTAGAGAGCGAGAGAGTGGTTTAAAAATTAACTTTCTCCGGAGGTCATTAAATGTATGCCATCTTAATTGGGTTAAGTTTAATGCTGTCTCTAATTTTCTATCACGTGTTTCCTTCAGTTCTGTCATATTACAGCCCTTGTTATTCTGGTATTATAACAAATTATATTTTTATTATCTTGTCATCTATTCCTTTGACTGAATGGTTTCACTCTCTCCTTTTAGCAGGAGAAAATATACAAAGAATAAAGCCAAAATGGCTTGTATCAGTCCAGTGCCTTTTTCTTTGTTTTTTTCAGCAGAGATATTTTAGAGAATATTCTTATCTCCACGTTGACTTCACTTTTAGAAAAGATTAGGACAGCTTGACTGCTTCTAGGAAGACTGAAATCTGGGAGAAAGTGAAATAATATTCCAATGATGCATTCAGCGAGTTTCCTGTAGAGTTTTGAAACAGCCCCCTGCCTCTGGCGGGTGGTGTGGGGAGCAGGCTTGGGGAGGCTCACTGCGCTAGTGCCCTCCTCAGGACCAGTGGTTTCCCATCCACAGGATGCCGTTCCTAGTAAGCAAAGAAACCAAGCTGTCTGAGCAGAGTTGAAGCAGTTATCTTCAGGCTTAAAAAATTTAATACTTTTCTTCAGGAAGAGAAGAGAGTCAAAAAAAAAAGTATTATTTTAAATTTAAAAATGAAAAACTTCATTTGTAAGAACTTTTGGCCTAATCTTGAAAGTACTGAATCCAACTAGATAATTCAGGGAGAAATTAAAAGGCCTTCCACTATTCAAACAATCCACTGAACTCTGCCTCTCCTGCCCCTAAGCACTTAGAGTTTTAATGTTCTGAATCAAACTTTCCCTTTATTTATTTAAACCTCAGGCAAGTTTCTAGAGGAAAAATTTTAAATACAAAATATGCATCAAATTGTTGTTCCTACTTGATTTAAACATTTTAAACTGACTCATTTGTCAAGTTGGCAGTTATTAGAAAGATTAGGGTGTTAAATTATAAAAACTTACAGATGCATGGCTTCCCTCGCAGCTCAGTTGGTAAAGGGCTTCCCTTGTAGCTCAGTCAGGAAAGAGTTTGCCTGCAATGCAGGAGACTAGGGTTCAATTTCTGGGTCAGGAAGATCCTCTGGAGAAGGAAATGGCAACCCAATTCTAGTATTCTTGCCTGGAGAATCCCATGATTGGAGGAGCCTGGCAGGCTACAGTCTATGGGGTCGCAAGTGTCGGACAGGATTGAGTGACTAAATACAGGCACACTTACAGATGCATTGTCTTAATGCAACAGTCACTAGCAACATGGGCTTTTCTGGTGATTTGGCTGGTAAAGAATCCGCCTGCAATGTAGGAGACCTGGGTTTGATCCCTGGGTTGGGAAGATACCCTGGAGAAGGGAAAAGACTACCCACTCCAGTATTTTGGCCGGGAGAATTCCATAGACTGTATAGTCCATGGGATCACAAAGAGCTGGACATGACTGAGAGATTTTCACTTCACTTCACTTCAGCTATACGTAGCTATTTAAATTTAAATTAAAGTTAAATAACATTTAAAATCTACTTGGTCACACTAGCCACATATCATGTACTCCATACATAGCTGCATGGGGCTGGTGGCTACCATATTGTACAGATATAGTACATTTTCATCATCTAGTAAATTTCTATTGGACAGTGTTGACCTAGATAAATGAAGACATGTTTGTGAATATTTATGGCATATGAAACACTCCATGTTTAACTTTATTTTATTCCCTTTATTATAATCCAATTCTCTGTAACATTGTTTCATTACAATGTTAAATGATTTGAATCCATATTAACTAAGTTCTACTCTGGTCTCTGTAATTGACTGAGCCACCTTGGACAAGTCACATAATCAATTCATCTACTAATTTTTTTCAACAAGTATTTCCTGAGCATCTACTATGGTTAAAGTACTGTGCTGAGCACTGGAGTGAAGGCAGTGACCTAAACAAAGTTCTGGTACTCATGAAACTTACATCCCAGAGAGAGAAGAAAATAGTAGTCAAAAAAATTGTAATATAATAGCACAAAATGTTAATTGCCATAACAAATATTGCACCTTACTAAGTGAATCAGACAGTCCTTTTCATGGAAATGACATTGGGGAGATGAAGCCATGTTCATGGAACCTCTCAGACTCACCTGTCTGGGTCTTTCAGACATTAGTTTCTCTCCAGCTATTACTCTGTAAACTAACTTCATGTGGATTCTGACCAACTTCAAGCAGATAAAACATTGCCCCAGAACCACTCTAAATGGTGGCTCACCTGTTGATGGTGAGGCATGAAACACTGCCTGAATTGCTTGGTACCCATTCACATGCAGTCTGGAAACGCAGAGGAGCCAATGCCTCAGGATGCATATTTTGATTAATGGGAGATGGGAGCTGAAGAATACATTCTTTTCACTTTTTCATCCCAGAAGCAAATCCTGAGACACAGTCTTTCATGCCCTCAGAAGCACCATGAGATGGAGATGTTATCTGCACTTGATACTAAGCAGTGGTTGACTTTTTACTTTTCCTCTCTTTACTCCCTTCCCTTTAATCTTTCTTTCCTTCAGCCCTGCCTCCCTGGGACTGCACTCCCAAATTATATCATAACACATAAGGCTTTTCTGTGTGAGAACTCCAGTAAAATTACTAGAGAAAGAGCCTGGTATGCAGAGGGAACTGTTCAAGTCCTTGAATCAGGAGCAGGCTTGGATTATTGAGATCCAGCTAAGTTCTTAAGTCTTGGCTTTCAGATCTATAAAGTGCAATGATTGAATAATTTATCAGTATTTATAAAAATCTGAGGCTGTTATATATAATACTTGCACATATGTATCTTGTGTATTTATAAAATCATATGCACTGTTTACTATATTTTTCATTTATGCTGTTTTTTCTACTTTTACAACTTTGAGAGGGCATCTTGTGAAGTCTCAGTTGTGTGTGTTAGTCGCTCAGTCGTGTCCGACTCTTTGCGATCCCATAGACTGTAGCCCGCCAGGCTCCTTTGTCCATGGGATTCCCCAGGCAAGACTACTGGAGTTGCCATACATAATGGTTGCTTAAGAAGTCTTACTAAGTGGTTTACTAGTCTTGTGCAACTACTTTTGAAATCTGAATGAGATTTTTTTTCTCCTTCTCTGACCTCATAGGCCAGGGCTTTCTAAACCTTCATGGGCATCTGTAGCACCCAGAAAAGTTTCTGAATATTTCCCCCCACCTCTAATCAAGATATTGTTTCAGGTGATCTGAGAGGAAACCACCATCTGTATTTTAACTGGCCTCCCAGACCATTTTGAGAGGTTCTCTGATGACCACACTCTTCAATAACATTATATCAACAACAAATGAGGAGCAACATGAAATTTTGGTACTTCAGTGGTTTTGAAAACTTCATTATATGCAGTCTCTCTCCATAAAGGATTTATCCTTCTGTGGTGCAGGCAGGTATAACAGAAATAGCTATAAACTTACCATTTAAATCATTACTTATAAATAAAAACAATTCACACAACTTATAGAAAAGCAAACTTTAATTGGTGTGTCAACATTGAAAACATTTTAGCTATTAACTGCATTCAGCTGCCTCTACTAAAGTTATTCTGGGTATTATTTTCAATAATTTTTCATCATGGTACATCATAAATCCATTAAAATGATGATTTTAAAAGATGGATGATGGTAGACTAAATACTCTGGGACCATTATTCTAGTAAAGTTTGGCACTCAATCTACTTAAAACATGCAAAATTTCTTATAGGAAGTTTGAAGCACTAAATGTTAGCAGAGGTTTGTTGTCTGAAAAATTGTTACTGAAGTACCTGTGAGTATTATTAAATATTCAAATACAAGGGATATTCTGGGTATGATATTACCACATCACTTTCTTTTGCAAAATTTTTCAAGATTTTTTTCCAACTTGCTTAAAGACTTAAGTCCATTTTCCTCAGCTCTTCATTGTCAGTGTTCTGTGACCTGGCGCTGATTTAGTCTCTTGATTTTGTCTCCTGAATTCTCCACAGTACCAAGCATGCACTCTACACTATTTTCAATAAGATTGTCTTTCCCACAAGATGTCCCTGAAAATGCTAATTTCAGGAGACTAATAGGTGTTACATTTTAATAAAAAAATTCTCCAAGGTAAAACACATTTGAAAAATGATATGATAAGCAAAGTTAATCAGATTTTTTTTTCCTCTAATTCTCAAACCCTTTAGGATAGTAGTGTGAATTAAGAATAGCGGGGAAGTGGATATAGAGTGAAATATTCCCAAATGGATTTTTTCACAAAGCTTT